AACACGCACACACGAGACCCCAGCATCATTGCATTACTCAGCGCATCCTCCACGCTGCCTGCCAGCCTCCTCCACTCCACTCACCAGTCCCGGTACAGTCGCACGTGAAGGAATTGATGCCATCCCGACACTGGCCTCCGTTGAAGCATCGCTCCTCCAGCAGACACTCGTCAATGTTCTGCTCACACTGGGCGCCCGTGAAGCCAGGGAAGCACTCGCACCTGAACGTGCCTGGCAGGTTCCGACACGTGCCGTTACCGCAGTCCACAGCGCCCACAATACTACATTCGTCTATGTCTTCGGAGCAGTTCTTGCCCTCCCAGCCTTGAAGGGGACAATTGAGGTAGAGAGGGAGGGAAGTGGAAGTTGGCAGAAAATAACTTGGGTTACCACCTTAGCAGAGACTGAGCCCACCATGAAAGGAACTTCACGCTGACCGAAAAGATGGTTCCAGTAGGGAACGGGATAGAGGGTGCCCACGTCCCTCGTGACTCATTGGAGCAGAGGAAGATAGGACTAACGCCAACATTACTTAAAAACGCAATCCCACATCATCACTCATCACCACCATTATATCTAAAATCATCACCGCTCTCAGATCAATGACTTACATCTATAATCCTGGAAGCTCTATCTGCTATTACAGTTAATTGTTATACTAAGTATGCACGTAATACACTATTGGACACTACCATACGTGCATTTTTTTTCTACTAATCAGACGGCGTCAATCTCATATAAATGGGCAAGGGATAAAAAATATTTAAAAAACAACTTGTGTTACTGGTTAGGCTCTAGCTCTTAGACGACTCGCAACCATAGGGTTGTGGGTTCAAATCCAGTCATGGGCTTGACGTTGTTGTGTACTTGGGAAGGGCACTTTACACAAAGTTTTCCTCACTTCACCCAGGTGGGAATGGGTACCTGTCTACAGATATGCCGTGGACCTATTTCTGTCTACTACGCTCGGCTAAAAAGTTCTTCAGCGGTGAAGAGAGCAAAAATGGGGAACAGTTGGTAGTATAAACAGAAACACTGAATTAACATTTTTTTTAAATAACTGAAAAAAACCCCGGAGCTTTCACAGCCTTTTGAGGTACATCAGAGAAAAGTTCTTTGTTCATTTTGTTGGGTTTTTGGTTTTAAGGAGAGCCAGAGAGAGGGGGGGGGGGGGTTACACTACACTTTGTATTGGACCATTCCTTGACCATCGGTCAAATCCTGACCGCCTGTCCCTACCACCTGGCTTACAGTACAGACAAAAGCTACAATCGAACAAGGAAAACAACACAGCTGATGAGGCAATGGTGAAGTGCTGGCAAAGCAAAAATCATAAACATAAAACATGTATGTTTTTGTCAGCCTTCCCCAGGTCATAGTCATGTGTGTGTCATCTTTCCCCACAAAACTGGGTCGATTGCTAAAAAAAAAACAAAAAAAAACGGAAACTGAAAATTTTATCGAAAGTGGTTAATGCATTATGCCAAGCAAATTCATTGGATCGCTTTTTAAAAAATTTAAAATGAGAAATTGAAAACACAAACACCAGACACAACACAACTATTCTCAAGTCTTATACTGCTCAACTAAAATTTTTTTTTAAAATCTGGTCAAAGACCAAATAAAATCTAAAATATTGCGATGATATGCTTCCATCTACGATGACACACACACACATACTTATGAGATGGGACCAGCTGACATGAACAAGGCAAAATAAATTGACTTGACGAACAAATGAAAAAATAAACAGGGGTCGCACAGGAGCAAGCATACGGGCCACTTTTTAGCACAGCAAGAAAGCAAAGCACCACAACGCTTTTCAAATTAAATGGTAAAATTTGGTGTTTGTGTGTATGTATATTGTGTATATATATATATATATATAGTAATGCATGAGGAAACAAAAATGTTTTCTTTCTCTACATTAAGCATGTATGTATGTATAAATAATACACCATCACTATACGCGATAGTAGAGCCAATAGAGCATGCTGTTGAGACGGAATACACGCAATACAAAAGGGCTTTTTTTGTTTTTTAATTAATTAATTAATTAATATATATATTTAGAACAGCTTTCATGAGAGGCAAAAAGTGCCCTATGCTTGCGCTTGTGCTCCTGCTAACCACCTAAAGTCCAAAATCACTCCCACAGTGACCTCAATAGCCACATAACTACGTGAGCTACAGATACACAGATAAATACAATAATATGGTCGCTTTTAAGCACATGGGGGCTATCCCGAAAAATGCTGTTTTTCGTTCTGTAACAGTTTTTCGGCACTTGCAACACAATAAGGTCATATAAGTGCCAAAGACTAGAGGTGTTACTAGAGAGTAACATACACAAAATAGAAGGAGGAGAGATAAAGAAGAGATAGATTTTTTATAGGAAAGAAGGAGCAAACCACATCAGAGCACCCGCCAACCACCCACAAAATGCTGGTTTGAGAAAATCGAAGGTAAAGTATTTGCCCCTTGTTCAGTTTCTTTAAAAGACAAGGAGAGTTTTACCAAACAAATATACCCATCAACAAAACCAAACTTCTCCTACGGGTAGGGCAATGCCCACTTTTGGTGTAGGTCAAGATTTCTGGAAACCCCCGAAATCTGGGTTAGCCCGCTCGTCCTTAAAAGCGACCATACGGACATGATATACCCACAGTCGAAACTGCCCAAAACAGCCACCCATTGTCGAGCAGAAAAAGTGATTGTCTTAGACAAGTGGACATCTTGATGGTGTCATTATAATATGTGAGGCAGGCTGACAAGATGAGTTACTTCTCGCAAACCACAAAATGGGAGATATTGGCCAAAAATAGACACAAGGGTTAAATTTGTAGAATTTTTACTAATGCCATATATTCTTTCACTACAACAAGCTTTTTATTATTCCATACTAATAGATTATAAAAATTTCACCTATAAGCGTGATATTCCAATATCTTTTTCCATAAGTCTTGAATCTGAAAAGTAACTCATTTTGTCAGCACGCTTCACATATATTATAATTCTAAAAAATGCAAGGGGGTGGGTGGGGGGTGGGAAGTAGTTTTTTGTACAGGTAATTGTCCTGGGCAGGTGGTCACTTTTCTCCTTCAAAATAGGTGGCCGTCTTTAGTTTAGCAAGAGTTTTACGGCACTTGTAACACAATAAGGTCATATAGGTGCCGGAGATTAGATGTGTTACAAGAGAGTAACAAACACAAAAAAGGAGGAGGAGAGAGAAGGGCCGTAGTTTTTTATAGGAAAGGAGGTGGCCGTCTTCGACAATTTAGACCAAACAAATATATATATATATATATATATATACATATTATTATGTTGTATAAAAAGTCCCACAAGAAACAATACAGGTGGTAAAGAACAGTCAAGAGATATTCAAAACTAACAACGTAGAGACTCCACTCAGACGCCATTTTGGAAAAAGTCAACTATTTCATAATTTCTTCCAAACACACTTCTATGATATGATACAATCAGGATACTTTTCAATGTCTTTCCCCTCTGCAAAGCACACCACAAGCTCCTCAACAGTCGATAGCAAGTTTAGAAACGTGAGGGGAGGTAAGTTTGAAAATGTGATAATGCTGCAACCTCCGGTTAAGTCGGTAAAGTCTCTTTATTGAAAGTCTTGTAACCTTTTTCCTTACTCTTCCTTACCAGTACACATTGTAAACGAGCGAAATGACACTTTGTGAACGAGGGAAAGGACAACACATTGTGAACGAGAAAAACGACACATTATGAACAAGAGCGAAACAACAACACATTGTGAACGAGAAAAACGACACATTATGAACAAGAGCAAAACAACAACACATTGTGAACAAGCAAAACGACAACACACAACCTACCTTGAATGCATGAGCAGTTGTAACTATTATCCGGGATGGATTGTATACACACGTCTGTATGATTCGCGTCGCATGGTTCGTCGGCACACGGCCCTTTGGTCTCACATCGCGAACCTGCACCATCAGACATGACATGGGTTCAGAGTTCATGGTTTGCCTTTTTGGGTTTTTTGTTGTTGTTGTTGTTGTTGGGTTTTTTTCTCATATATTTGAACACAAATTAGGTCATTTACAATGTAGGACAAATGAATAATAATAATAATAATCATCATCATCATAATAATATTCATAATATTAATAATAATAATGATAATATAAAGATAATAATGATGAAAATGATAATAATAACAATAGTAATAAAAATAACAACAACAATAATAATAATAATAATAATAATAATATAGTCAAGCAGGCACATAGTGAAATCCACGGGACACAAATGTTGTCACTGTGTACGAATCTTGTTATGTACGTGTTTTAAAAACAAAAAAATATACTTGTATAAGACAAAAAAAATTTGAGACTGTAAAATCTGTTCGTGTTGTAAGAGCAAGACTTTAACAATAAAAAAACAGAATAAAACCAGAACTTCCCCCAATGTGTCTTTTGTGTGACTATGCATATATGAGACAGCGGATCATCACCTGTTCCACTGTACAGCCCTAAATGACATCAGAGCTACCCTTCTCCCTCCGAGACCTAACACTGACAACACACTCTACGGAACATTACAGAAACCGCAGCAAACCTGCACTTATCACTACATGGCATTGGAGAGAAGGGCGAGAGCCCAGATGTTGCTGGATCGATAACAACAACAACAACAACAATAACAATATGTAGATTTCTAGAGTAGCCACTCCCCAATTGGACTCAAGGCCCAGACAGAAGATGACTGCACACTGTCAACATACTAGGAGATATCAAATCCTTCCTCTGCAGTAAATTTTGCGAACTCAGTGCTTTCTTGTCGTATCTCCATGTTTTTTAACAGTGAAAACAGTCAATAATAAAGAGTGAGCTTAAGAAGAAGTCACATTTTCATTGTTAAAACATAAAAATGGAGATGCGACGAGTAAGCACTGAGGTCGCGAGTTAGTAACTCAAAACAGCCAAAAATGTCAGATAGAACTTTGTAATTCTGAGGTAGAGTTGCGACTTGACAGACAAATAATAACTCTCACCCTCATAGTACTAGGAAAGCATTAGAGTAGACCACACCAGAGCACCCGCCAACCACCCACTCATGGTCTTAGTAACTCAATTTAACAGCCAAAAATGTGAGATAGAACTTTGTAATTCTGAAGTACGGTAGCGACTTGACAGACAAAAAATAAGTCTCACCCTCATAGTATTAGGAAAGAAGGAGCAGACCACACCAGAACACCCGTCAATCACCCACTCATGGTCTTAGTAACTCAGTTAAACAGCCAAGAATGTCAGATAGAACTTTGTTGTAAATCTGAGGCAGCGACTTGACAGACAAATAATAAGTCTCACTGCGGTTTTAGGCAAAAACAATAAATAATTCTGAAACTATGCAAACTGAGCCCAAAAATGTGAAATTATGCGACTCTGTTAATTTGAAAAAAGAATGATAAAGGAAAATATCCAGAAATTATGCCAAAAAAATGATCAAATTTTGCTAAAATATGCAGGGTGCATAAAACCCCATGTACAGAAAAATAAAAAGTCTCACCCTCATAGTACTTCGGGCACACACAATACCAGTCGGTGGCGTTGGTGCGACAGTCACCAGCCAGGCAGATGTCAGCTGTGCAGTTTGGAGTGGCGCATGTCAGTCCTTCGTAGCCCAGCGTGCAGTTGCAGTCAAAGGTACCCTCCCGATCCGTGCATACTCCGTCGTGAAGGCAAACAGGGACCGTTCTGTTACACTCGTTTTCCTCAATCTCACAGTGGTCTCCTGGGAAATGAAAGAAGAACAACAGTTTAGTTCTAGTAAGAGTTTTACAACACTTGCAACAGAATAAAGTAACAAAGGAAAGAACAAAGTAACAAAGGAAAGAATAAAGTAACAAAAGGGTTTTTTGGTGAGGGGGGGGGGTGGAAAGAGTTTTTCGGCACTTGAAACACAATAAGGTCATATAAGTGCCGAAGAATAGATTATGTGTTACAAGAGAGTAACGTAGACAAAAAAGAATGAGGAGAGATCAGGATGATAGATGTTTGATAGGAAAGAAGGAGCAAACCACACCAGAGCACCCGCCAACCACCCACGAAGAAGAACAAAACAGAGGTACGGTGTTTCTTAAATTTTACGAAAGAAGAGTGAAGTCAATAAAGTATGGTCTTATACTAGCTTCAATGTGGGATGGTCACAAATCATCATCATCCAGTGCCAGATCTGCGACAGAAATCGGCAATCATGGTTCGGTTCTCCATTCATTCCTTTGCTGGGATGCTCTTAAAAAAAGCTACCTTTTCCTGATCTTTCCCCATTACCCATATAATATAATGTCTTAGTTTCAGTTTTAGTAGAGGTTTAACGGCGCTCGCAACTGCATAAGGTCGGTCATATGAGCGCCAAAAGATTAGAGGTGTTACAAGAGAGTAACAAACATAAAAAAGAAGAAGGGGAGATAAGGATGATAGATGTTTGATAGGAAAGAAGAGGCAAACCACACCAGAGCACCCGCCAACCACCCACAAACCACACCAGAGCACCCGCCAACCACCCACTATATGTCTCTAATAAAAACAATTAAAAGGAGACAAAAGTTGTTGCTCTGACATGTGAATCAACACGAAGGTCTTGAACATATCACTGAGTAAAAAAAAAAGGCAAAAGGGAAGCTTAGACCAAGAATAAGCTACTTAGATTAAGTTAGATAACTTGAACAAACTGGTGGTGGTTAAAGAATAAGGAAACAAAGGAAAGAATAAGGTAACAAAGGAGAGAATAAAGTAACAAGGGAAAGAATACGGTAACAAAGGAGAGAATAAAGTAACAAGGGAAAGAATAAGGTAACAAAGGAGAGAATAAAGTAACAAAGAAAAGAATAAGGTAACAAAGGAGAGAATGAAGTAACAAGGGAAAGAATAAGGTAACAAAGGAGAGAATAAAGTAACAAGGGAAAGAATAAAGTAACAAGGGAAAGAATAAGGTAACAAAGGAGAGAAAAAGATAACAAAGGAGAGAATAAAGTAACAAGGGAAAGAATAAAGTAACAAAGGAGAGAATAAAGTAACAAGGGAAAGAATAAAGTAACAAGGGAAAGAATAAGGTAACAAGGGAAAGAATAAAGTAACAAGGGAAAGAATAAAGTAACAAGGGAAAGAATAAGGTAACAAAGGAGAGAAAAAGATAACAAAGGAGAGAATAAAGTAACAAGGGAAAGAATAAAGTAACAAAGGAGAGAATAAAGTAACAAGGGAAAGAATAAAGTAACAAGGGAAAGAATAAGGTAACAAAGGAGAGAATAAAGTAACAAAGAAAAGAATAAGGTAACAAAGGAGAGAATGAAGTAACAAGGGAAAGAATAAGGTAACAAAGGAGAGAATAAAGTAACAAAGAAAAGAATAAGGTAACAAAGGAGAGAATGAAGTAACAAGGGAAAGAATAAGGTAACAAAGGAGAGAATAAAGTAACAAGGGAAAGAATACGGTAACAAAGGAGAGAATAAAGTAACAAGGGAAAGAATAAGGTAACAAAGGAGAGAATGAAGTAACAAAGGAAAGAATAAGGTAACAAAGGAAAGAATAAAGTAACAAAGGGTTTTTTGGGGGGGTTTTGTGGTAAGTGTTTTTCAGCGCTTGCAACTACATAAGGTCATATGAGCGCACGGGACACACTAAAAATTTTCAGTTGGTAGGAAATTTTGAAATTTGCTCGGGTGGTGGCCGAAGCCTACTCTCATCGACTGTAACTGTATACCACCAAGGGATCTGTAAATTGCACAGGGGACCTCTGAGATTTTTCGCCCTTGTCCACGAAGGGAAGGTGTAGATCTTTCCTCACAGAAGATCAGGGGTGTGGCTGATAGACAGCAGTAAGAAGGAGCCAAGGAGTAGCAGTAGAAAAGCTAGAGGGTGAACAAAAGTTTCTTCAGAGCCTCCCAGCAGAGAAATGAATAGACAGTGTCTGTTCCAGATCTGGCACTTGGAGGAGGAGGAGGAAGAGGAGGAGGATGAAAAAAGACAAGGTTAATGCATACGTCATACGTGTACATGTGTATGTGTGTGTTTGTTTGTGTGGGAGATATAGAAAGAGAGACAGACAGAAAGGCAGGCAGACAGAGAGAGACAGACAGAGAAAGAGACAGACAGAGACACGGAAAGACAGACAACAGACAGAGAGACAGAGGGACAGAGAGATACAACGAGAGAGAGGGTTAGAGAGAAACAGACAGAGACAGAGACAGGCAGAAAGACAGAGAAATAAAAAAAGACAGACAGAGAAAGAAAGGGACAAAGAGAGAGAAAAAAGAGAGAAATCTACCCCACTTACCCACATATCCAGACCCGGTACAGTCACAGTGGTTGTTCAAACATTTCCCGTGCTGGCAGAAGGAAGAGTTGGCGCAGTTGTCCACTCGTGACTCACAACGAGGACCCGTCAGGGCTGGAGACAGGAAGCCATTGTGAGTGAGGCGTGCTGATTAAACGAGTTACTTCTCGTCGCTGATTAACCCTATCCGTATGCCCTGGGGTCATTTTGTAACACCCCACCCCGGTTGTATTCTTCACATTTCAGAATACTTCTAGTACGAAGATCTCTTTGAAACTTTCAGTATTTCTCAAAAAATCATTTTGACAGACTGCTGTGCAAAGCGTACGGATCAGCTTAACGAGTAAATTTCCTCTTTGGAAAGTGGTGGCACAGAGTTCCCCACGTCGTATGGATACGATAGTAAAACATGACGAACTGAAAGGGTTAAACACGTTACTTCTCATCGCAATTCATGAATCGAGATATTGGCTGAAAATATACATTGGGCTCAAATTTATAGATATTTCAATCAATGCCATTTTCTTCAAGGATAAAAAAAAATTACTTAGACAGGGTGTTATGACCATGCAAAATGTTGTCTTCTAAAGTTTTCTCAAAACAGAAAATGAATTAGTGTCTCACGACCATGAAAATTGTTGTTCTTTAAATTTTTCTCAAAACAAAAAAACAGTGTTAAACGACTTTAAAAAATAAGTAATTTAAATCTCCCAGTGTTGCTGCCAATTTAATCAGCCGTAACTTGCATTGTTATTTTGGTTCCTAATTTCCTCTCCTCCCCCCATTTTTTAAATATTGCAAGCTAGACAATGGAAGTTCTTCACAAATAAGTTCTACATCCCATGTATATTCTACTTTGTGAAAAGGTACAGGTTTATGGCCTTAACTTTCTTGGTTTGCCTGTTCCCCTAGCATTTTCAAAGAGAACGTTGTGAAATCACATAACTTCCCCTGACACCACTGGCAATTTGTTTGCCATACTTGGAGGGCTAAAGTTTTCTCAACAACAACAAAAATTGCTCAAACAGCATGTCATGACTATACTTTTACTTTACTATTCCGATCCAGCGGCCATTTGAGTTCCCGCCCTTCGGCCTGATGTCATGACTATAAAATAAACTGTATTTGGAAGTTTTCTCAGAACAAAAATTGACTAAGAAGTGCGTTATGAGTTGTCCTTTAAAGTAAAGTTTTCTCAAAACCAAAAAAAAAAAAAAAAAAAAAAAAAGACTGACAGTGTCTTTTGTAGTTTTCTCAAGACAAAAAAAAAAAAGACTTAAGACAGCATATTATGATTACCAGTTGATATAAACAGATAATAATAATAATAACAGATAGCATTTGTACAGCGCAAATCCCCGCTCAGCAGCACACTCAATTGCGCTTCACAATCGAGATCTTGAGAAGCTTCTCAAACCAAAACATGACTAAGACACAGTATCATATGTGAGGCAGCGTGGTGGAATCAGGCTCTCGTCAATTTTTGGGCACATAGAGTTACTGGTATCTTCTTAAAGCTTGTTCACTTGTCTTTATTTGGATGAAAAAAATATCCGTTTCTCTTAAATACAAGTCGAGATATTTGAGAATGAAGAAGGTGGGGGTCACCTGTTTTCAGAGGTAAAATTCGTGAGAAAATGGCTGCTAAAGATGAGATATTTCCTTAGCTTAAGAGTCCGTAGTAACCGAACATTTATATCTTGTGTGCCTTTCATCAACGTTTTTCAGAAAAATGCACATAGAAATGAGTTCTTTTATGGTCATGAAAGGTGTTGAGCCCAAAAACAAAAATCTGATGAAAATTCACAAACCTGCGGAAAAATGCAAGTTTCTTCACTTTGATTATTTTGACGAGAGCCTGATTCCACCGCGCTGCCTCACATATGAGTTGACCTTGAAAGCTTTCTCAAACCAAAACATGACTAAGACAGCGTATTAGTATTACAATTATGAGTCGACCTTGAAAGCTTTCTCAAAACAAAACATGACTAAGACAGCATATTATATCAGTTGACCTTGAAAGCTTTCTCAAAACAAAAAATGACTTAGCCAGCATATTACAATCATGAGTTGACCTTAAAAGCTTTTTTAAACAAAAGCCTGACTAAGACAGCCGCGTGTAATATGAACGTGGCAAAAACGCAAATGTCCAGCACGGAGGAATCACTCACTGTCTGGACAGTGACACATGGAGCCTGTGTCGGAGCTGACACACGTGCCACTGCCACAGTCCACTCCCACACACGGGTCGACGACGTCAGTGCAGTTGACCCCCATGTAACCTGGGTCAGGAACAAAACAGGAATGAAAAAAATGTTGGGTTGTCATTTGCGCCACAATTGACTCAATTTAGTTTTAGTAAGACTTTTACAGCACTTGCAACAAAATAAGGTCATACAAGTGCCGAAGATTAGAGGTGTTACAAGAGAGTAAAAAGCGCAAAAAAGAAGGAGGAGAGATAAGGACAATAGAAGGAGCAAACCACATCAGAGCACCCGCCAACCACCCAACTCCACTCAATTTAGAACATTTCGTTTAGTTTCAGTAAGCATGAGAAAGCAAGACCTTTGCTTCCATCTCTTGACACTGTAAGCTAACAGAGGCTGGGGAAAAAGTAGAGTAAGTGAGTTTTTTAGTTTTCATAAGAGTTTTACGGCACTTGCAACCCAAAAAGGTTATAAGTGCTGAAGATTAGAGGTGTTACAATAGAGTAAATTCTTTCATGAAAGTGACATCCAACTTAAAATTCTACGTATATCTATATCCACCTGAGTTTTTACAGCCTGCACAGCCAAACAGCATTCCCCACAGGGACAATAACATATTATCTTACCTCTTTAGGAAGTTCTATTTAATGTCTCATCAAATTGCTACCTTAGAATTATAAAGTTCTATCTGCTCAGTACTCTAGTTTAGAGAAATTTGACGCTAAAAATTTTGAGTGTCACAACATGCCAAGCTTTTTCAAATATGCAATTCTGTGAATATCTTGATAACGACTGCGAATAATCTTATGATCTTGATAGAGTAGATAGAACATTTGGTTACGGACCTAATGGTCTTAGTAACTCAAAACGGCCGAAAACGTCGGATAATAACTTTATAATTCGAAGGTGGCGAAATGCTACAACTCGTGATCTCAGTGCTTTCTTGTCCTATCTCCATTTTTTTTAAACATTAAAAATGCGACTTCTTCTTTCGCTCACTCTTTGTTATGAACTGTTTTAACTATTATTAAAAATTAAGATCAGGACAAGAACGCACTGAGGTCGCGAACTACTATTAACAGCGGACGTCAAACTGTCCGGACAGGAACAGGAACCACTGACCAGTGTCCGAGCAGTCGCAGGTGTAGTTGGTGGCGTCGGTGTGGCTGGTGCAGCTGCCATTGCTGCTACACACCACACCGTAGATGCTGCAGTAGTCTATCTGACGCTCACACAGTGGGGGTTCGAATCCCACCGGACAAGTGCAGGTGAAGGAGGATACATTCTGAGGACAGAAAAACATGTTCATGTTTATTATGTTTTAGTATGTGAGTTTTATCATAAAATCAATAAGAGCATGGAGACAGCACTATCGCATTTTGGAGAAAAACAAGAGCACCTAGACGAAGAAACATTCTAGGCACATATATATATATACCTTCACGTCTTTTAACTCCTTTACTGCTGAGATGTTTCCATCTATGTGTATACTGGCAAAATGAAATGTATTTTCAAGGGAGTTTTACAAAGCCATCATATCTTTCCCCTTTTTCTGAGTAAGAAACTACAAACTGTGGCTCTATGTACTAAAACCTATTGTACAAATCAGCAGAGATATATGCCAGTGAACGAGTTTTAGAGCACACACTAGAACATACATGTACGTCGACACAACGTTGAAGACGTTAAGCAACATAATAAGGTCATACAAGTGCAGAAGATTAGAGGTGTTACAAGAGAGCAACAATCAAAAAAAAAAGGAGGAGAGAAAAGGTGATAGATGTTCGATAGGAACGAAGGAGCAAACCACACCAGAGCACCCATCAAACACCCACACATTCAAGTGTAACACCATCTGTTTGAGTGTAGTCAGTATACATGTTTGCGTACATGCTCGTACTGTTTACTTAACCACTACTACCACTCACACACAATTTTCCAGTATTGTTTCCTAACTTTGGAAAGTGTCTTGAGCTGTATTTAAATAGGTGGGCGCTATACAATTGGTCTGCATCATTATTGCCATTTTATAATTATTATAATCATTAGTATTATTTTTATTAACAATACATTTACCTAGAGATATTTATCTAGAGATGGGGCCTTTTGCCAATGAGCACAAGAGGGTCTGACGAGTTGACTGGCAGGCCATTTAGTTAGTTTTATAGAGCGGTCAAAAATGCACAGCGCAACTTATTGTGAAATATCTCCTTACCTACCGAACATACATTCTCCAACTTTTGCACAATGACTTATATCAGGTGAGTATTTTTTAAAACTCCTGCACACTGTATTCTAGAAAATTCTTTAACAAATACTAAGGTTTTTAAAAAAATTAAAAAACATTCTACCATGGCTTCAGTGTTCTCAACTGGCATGGTACTTGAGGGTTTTTCACCATATGAGCATTTGGTACTGAAGGTGTTAAAGCCTTGCTTATCACGCCATAAATCAATTTAACCTCTCAAACAACAGAGCTGTATGACTGCTGAAACATGTGCATAGGAAATATTATGGGGACAGAAACCTTCAACAAGTTTCACACCATCTATTGGTGTTTGATGGTTTTGGTAAGTGTTTTGTGGCGCTCGCAACTGCATATGGTCATATGGCCACCCGGTGTTTGGATGTAGTATGTATACAGTATATGTTTCAAGATGTGATGGAGTCACGCACTCGTCAGTTTTTGGACATGTGCAGTTATTAGTATCATATAACAGCAAGTTTATTTGTCTTGATTTTGGTGAAAAAAAATACTCAGGTATCATTAAAAGAAGTTGAGATACAAAGGAGGGGATGCCTGGTTTCAGAGGTTAAATTAATGAAAAATGGGCGCCAAAGTTTGGTAATTTTCATTTGAGAGTCCTTGGAAACTGAAAATTTTACATTTTTGTGCCTTTAATCAATGTTTTTCAGTAAAAATTCACACAGAAATGTGTTTTTAATAGACATAAAAGGTGTTGAGCAAAAAAAAAAGAAAAAAAAAAAAGAAAAGAAAATCAGGAAAAAATTGTCCAAAAGCTAGAAAAATGCCGATTTCTACGATTTCATTACTTTGACGAGGGCCTGATTTCACCACGACGCCTCACATATCATTCAAGACATCCCAGGGTCACATGACCAGGACTTACGTTAAGGCCTCCTATTGATGTGGTGGTGTCGGCACACGAGCCACCGTTGGCACAAGGATATGAGGGTCCTGAGCAGCTCTGCTCCAACTGTAATGAAAGCGGAAACCACAGGGGGAGGTGGGGG